TTATCATAAAAATTTTAAAAATTTCAGATTAACCGCGGATTGCCCGGATCAATCCGTATTTCGGATTAATTTCGGATCGTTAGGTTTAATCCCGGATTAACTGTCAGATCGGCCCCGGATCAATCCGTATTATGGATTCAGATCGGATACGGATCAAACCCGGATCAACCGGGATTTTCAATCCGTTTTGGAACACTAATTACATACCGATACCAATGTTGTTATCAGCATTAAGTCCAATATTTTTGTTTAGCCCTAGTCTTAAGTTCAACTGGCCTTCATCTAAGTTTAATTATTCCAAATCTGACAGTTTATATGCCCAAATAATGATACTATTACGTATTTCTCTCTGAATTCATAATATCTGAAGCTATATGTAAACATCGTATAAACATTCATTTTTTGTGTATAAGATAAATTTGGAAAGAATCAATGAATTGAAAATAGTTTGTTTATTGATAAGAGTAAAAACCTCATTACACAAAAATTTTTAATCAAATAAACAAAACATACTCTTCCAAAAATAATAATATATAAATAGAGTACAGAATAAAGTTAACTTTAGTACAATAATCTTTAACAGATTATCAATTTCTACTATGAAAATACCAAATATTGTAAAGATCAAAATTTTTATCAGGATTGGCAATGGAGCTCTACAGAATTTTAAATGAACCAGTGAATAGTAATTTATTGAGCTCTATTTGAAGCTCGTTTGAAATATATAAATAATTATTCATGACAAAGTTGAACGGTGCGAATTTTCGTCACAAACTTGTAAATTATTAAAACAAAATGCCCAAGCCTGATACCTCTTAACTAGTGGCAGATATCGGATTAGGAATGAGAGATTTTACTGGCTTACTGACATTGATTGGTAGTGATGCTGTGGACAATAGCATGGGACGAATAGCAATTGATCCGTTATCATTTATGATGAGCGTTATAAGTTCCTTTGGTTTAATTGGATTGTCAAGAAATTTGTTAAAACAAGCAATTGGTAAATACAATTGCGAAGCGCTTAGATTTGATACACGTGGAATAATGAGTACATACAAAAATCCTTTTAACAATGAATTTTACAATATTCGAGGACTTATCCGTTGTAGAGTATTGACTGAAAATGGTTTAGAAAACGTCCCAGGAGGTGTGCGATCATATTTTTTAAGCCTAAGAGGAGTTAGAGCCTGGAAAGATAAAGTTGTAGTTTATGCAGATATTAAGAAATCTATTAAAACCATTTATTGGAAGTTAGGTGTTTTGGCTGTTGTTACAGTCATTCTTTTATCATTACGTTTATTATCAGTTATTAGAGTGGTTGATTTGACTGGCTTTGCTGCTTTAATGACTTATGTTAACGCAGTATTATTAGGACTTTTCGGGTTTTCTGTTTGGTTTAATTACATTAGGACTATATTTGATGGTGAAAGCGAAGATGATAATGCTGTAATATGGTTAGTTAACACAACACGTGACAATTATAGTGAAAGAACCACACACTATACTATATTAATAGGATTTAAACCACTAAATAAGGAAGAACTGGGTAATAAACCCAAAATGTTAACTAGAATACTTGCTGGCTTTGCAATGATTACTAGCATCATTTCTTATACAGCTATATTAAGCTTGTTACAATATTCTGAACCAAGTGATATAACAATATGGTTATTGGTAGAATGTGTATTATGCTTGATACGGATGATAGTGTGGGCTTCACCAAAAGTAAAAGCGTTACTTGCTCCTACATCAGATTGTCCTATTCAACCTATTGAAGAAAATGATGAAAATGTTTGGAAGCGGAAATCATGTTTATCACAGCTCCAACAAAACAATGGAGCCTATTTTCAAACATGCCATCTGGCAAGAATATTGAAAATTTACATACCACATTGTGTCCAAATAAGAATATCAGGTGGACAAATGAAACTCTTTTAAAACTAATGAAGGCTGGATTAGTGTACGATATTGGTGCAGTTGGTGCAAACAACTATGTGTCACTAATATTAATGAGTAGTGTAGCAGGAAGATGTAAATTTATAAAGAAATATAATCTAGATACAGTTTTTGAAGACTTGCGAAAAGAATATACAAATAATTTATTAATAATGAATAATATTGGACTTAGAGAATTCAATAATATCCTTGGAATTCCAGAATGGGCATTAGGCAAAGATAATACAGCAATAGGTAAATATTTAAATCATTACGGGCATGAAATGTGGATAATGATAGAATGCCCCGGAGATCCTTATGATCTTAATATACCTATGCCTAGACCAAAAAGGCAAATTACAAAAAAAGGTTATTCATTGATTAAAGGCCAATGGTATGAAATGGATATAATAGGTATAGCTAAACAGCAAGGAGTAGATGTAGACCCTAAAGATATAGGAGAACCAAGACCATGTAATAATCCATTTACCATAAAAGGATCGAGACCTAAGATAGACATGAGTGGTGCACCTAAATATTCAGATAGTGTTGTTTAAACTTTAACTAAATGCACAATATGAAAATTTCGATTGCTCTCTATTATTTATTATACAATTTTTTAGTTTTTTACATTAACCTTTTATGCTATTTGTTGTTAGTTCCTATGTTTAAATTAATACTTTTAAACGAAAAAACAAGGTTATTTACTTATTATAACATAAGATCATTTCTTAGTCATAACAGGATTATTTTATTCTTGTTTTTGAATCAATTAGTTGTTAACTTAGTGTTTCGGATTAATTGCAGTTAATACTAATGTTTTTAATAAACTTGATTAGTTAAATAAATATTTCAATACTACATTTAATTAATTAATTAATTTATTACAGTAATTTGATTTGCTAAGAAATTCTAGATTTTCACATTTTCCAGTCGATTAGTCAACTTGTTTTTCAACTAATAATCTGGATATAAACGAAAATTTCTCAAAGTCAGTAGCGCCGTGCTAAATGTTTTTAAATCAACTGGAGTTAAAACCGAGTTTAATAATTTTGACCAATAATCATCACACTGCATATGTAATAGATTATTCAGTACCGTCGTTATAACAAACCAATTAAATTCTGTGTTTTACATTACCCCCATCCCTCTTAGTAAAAAAATTTAGATAAATATATATAGGGCATCGGGCTATTTCGGAAAACGTTTTTGTCGAAAAAATTTTTTGTAAAATTTTACTATGTAAGCCACAATCCCTCCACCCTTCCCCCACTCCTCAGGTGTGGAGAGGAGGGCAATGTAAAACACAGAATTTAATTGGTCTGGCCTTATTATGCAAAAATCTTACTAATCCTCTGGGAAGATGAATGCATCATTTTCCCGGCAGGTTTGTCATTATATTATGGTTTAAAATTCTAATTCTAATATTATATTAAGTTAGGTACAATGAAATTCTCAAGATCCTTTAATTATGGAAGCTAAAGAAACTTTATGGGAAAGTACTCTAAAGTTGACCTTATTTAACAATCGATCTTGTAAATTCGGAAAACCAAAATATAGATCATGAAATTTTAAGAAAGTACAGAAAACTCTTAATGAGGTATAAATTACTTTTTTTATCATTATATTTCCGTATTTAAATATATATATTTATTAATTTTATGTTTTATGCGCTTGTCTTGAAAGTATAATAATCTTCCCAAACAAAAAATAACTTCGAAACATTGAACCCATTAAAGATTTCGAACGAGCAAAAAAACTTCAAAAACATGGTGTCTTTTACTGGTAGCCTTAAATTCAAATTTAAAGCTTTATATGTATGAAGTAAAATTTGAATTTGGATTAAATGTATTTTATACACTTGAATTGATGAATTGAATTGACTTAGAATTTGTAGCAATAATTAAATAAATCCTAATTAATTGAATAAACATAAAAAAAACTTCAATAACTCCTTAAAAAAATCTCGTGATCTCACGACTCTGTTGTTAAAACGACTATGTAACTGATTTTGGTGGCGATACTAGGTGCGTTGCGTAGGGAGTCAGATCGGAAAGGGTTTATAGTGGTGTGGTAGAATTCGCTGACAATGTTACGGAAAATTTCTTCGAAATTTTCCTTACTGTGTATATTTTCTTTTCTTTGTGTTGTATAAGTTCGTCTTTTCTATATGTAAAAGCAGTAGATTATGTGAACGCGATAGAATTAGCACATGTATGGGTTCGAAACCC